TTAAAAAACATACCAGTGTATGTCTGAAAAACAAGTTTGCATTGCAAGCATTGACTGACAACATGACTCAAACAGCCGCAATGGGCGGACCAACGGTGAAGACATATTGACACATGGTGAGACCGTGTACATGAATGAATTAGTTTTTAAGGTTTGTACAGATCTACAAACACTAACAGGGCAAGGCTTTTTTTAACCGGTTTTCAAATATTGAAGATCATAAAATAAGAAAAGTAGAAAGAAAACAAAATCTGAAAAAGTATTATTTTTGTTATTCTGCGTGTTTACCACAAACAATTAGCTCACCCCACAGATTGAAACTGCACCACTGTCAGGACAAGCTAAACTAACTCTGTCTCCTGACACCATATTCAAGACACAATCATTTGTATTTATTTTTTCCCACCTTTGTAAACTAAAATATAGATATCTACAAAAATGTCTGCCTAATATGAAAAAATCAATTTAATTTTTTTAAAGAATTTAATCTGCGAAATGTGTTTTATGTGAGTGAAATAGAATAATAAAACTAAAATAACAACCATATAAATTGTTTTAACGATGTCTAATAGTAACTCAAATATGCCTATCCAGCCACAGAAACTGGTCTCATGTGGATGACTGCTAAGATATTTCAGCATGGATGCATTCATCAGTACCAAACAGCTCCTGAAGTAGGCGTCTTCAGAGCTGTAGATAAACTGCGTATTTGCATAAAATACATATTTAATAAACTGAAATACTCAGACATAAAATCCCTAGGGTACCAAATATGCATCAAACAACATAAAAATGCTCTTGAAATACAACTAATGTGTATATTACAACTATTAGATAAAACGATTGTGTATCAGCTGATCGTGAAACTCATCTACCAACAGTTACATTTGGTAAAACGTGTGGACTACTATTAATTTAGTTTTAAATGATTTACAGGGATCATTAAGTAACAGATTTTGAAGTTATAAAATACCCAAATGTAAAGAAATGTGGGTAAAAACAAATTTGTATACCCCTAAACATTGTGGATGCCCACTAAAAATGAAAACCCATGGGTAAAATACCCAATTAACCAAAGCTCATCTAGAGCTCTGGACATATTTTATAGCCCTCAGTGTAGCACATTGCAAAGATTACAGAGGTGTACAAGATATATACTAAGTTGTAGAGCCATAGTGAACAGTAAAGTTGAGAAATAGACAGAAAAATATTCTAGAAACTAAATAGTAATGGTATTGCATGTGTTTAAAGCATATGTCAGAACAAACAATATTCTATATCTCAGAGTTGCTCACGAAAACACTATATCAACTAACTACAGAAAGCAAACCTATCAACATTGTCATTCAACTTTGTAAAAATAGAATAAAATTTAAACTGAAAAAATGTGTGAAAACTCAACAGGTTTAGTATCAACAAATATATGACTCTTAAAAGGATTTTTGTGGTTTTTTAGTTTAAATTTTTCAGTTTGCAAAACAATGTAAATACAATGTTTTTTTAACAATATTTACAGTAGCATTACAATCATACACTTCCATGACCACAACTATTTACAGTCTATATTTACTAATCAACACTACAACAGCTATATACAGTCTATATTCACTACTACTACTACTACTACTACTACTACTACTACTACTACTACTACTACAACTACTACTACAGCGAAACCATCAACTAAATGGATAGATAAACGGCTACAAAAACTGAATATACGAGACCACATTATATGAACACTTAATCTCAGTTTAACTTCAAATATTTTACTAAAGAAATATGAAATAAAATTTAAGAAAAAGCCAGTTAGCTCTATAACATTAGACTCATTGAGTTCAATAAGTTTAAAAACATATATCTTTAAAAGTTCAGTTGAAAACTGAAAAATAATTCTGATTCAAATATATACATGTGTTCTTTTAATATTAAGCACAAGAAATGAATTACATATTCAGCAGATTGTTTAAGCAGATCTGCAGAAGATAAGGAATGCCAACAACAGACAGTTCTAAAACTTGGTCGCTTGTCTACTGTCACCTTTAACAGAATGGCTTTTCCTGCCTTACACTTCATCAAATCAAAGTCATAACTACAATGTATCTACAGAATTAATTTACATACAAACAGACACGTTCAAATAAACATGTGACATTTTTACAACTTCCTTTTCACGTTGGCACACCTTCATTGGTCTGATAGCAAATACAGTCACTACACAACTGAGCCACGAAAGCCTTGATGAAACACAGTACTCATGCTACGCACACATTGTAACACATGACAAATCATTCTAATCATAACAAATCATCATCTATTTATCATGAAATTATCAGAATCAAATGGGGAAATAATCAATCTTGTTTGCATGGACAGAAAACAACCAAGGTTATTAATTATACATACAAATATTTTGTGTAACACAAAAATAAGATATAATCCTTTGAACAAAAAATAAAGAGTTATGAAATACAAAGACAAATGTCTTAATACCCTTACAGAGCCACATACCCAAAAATAAAAACAACAGTCTACAGTACGACTTACCAATTTCAACAGTAAGCAATAGCATTAGTATTGTCCAAAGACTACATAATTACTTTATCTATATGCAGTCAAAGACAGTTTTGGCAAAAGCAAGATATCGTTGTGTGTCATACAAAATATATGAAAAACATGTAAAAATACTTCAAATCTTTCATGAGAAATGAAGCAATATTCAAAACCATTTTTAAAATTGTGTTAAAATTTCTGTTAAGATGAGGTAGGCTATTTCTAAGGTAGGGATTGTGACTCACCCATTCATTACTGAGGTACTTCAAGAAATAACAAATGTTCATCACGTATTCCATTCTGAACACGTCCCCCACTCCATCCAATTTGTTGCAAGTGTTGTGCATAGATTTTTTAAAATTAGTTTTTCAGAGGATCTAAATGACAAAGAAATTAGAAAATGATAAATAATAATAACAATTTAACCGAAAAAAATTACAAACAAATCCTTAATTTAGACAGTCAAGGAATATTAATTATAAATTCCACTTTTAAAGCCACAGAATAAAAATGTTGACATGAATTGTGTCTGGCTTGTCTCCCTTGGACCATAACATTGACAGCAGTTCACAGCAGAAATGATATGACATCAAGACACGAGGTAGGTTGAATGAACTTGAATCATTCATCATGAATCTTTTCTGACATACATTAATTCTTTCTGAACTTTGATACATACTTAAAATGTTCACCTTGCACTCAAATACTTTTTCTTCTTAAACTCTAGACAACAATAATGGAATTTGTGAAGTGTATATTTCATAATTTTCTCTGTCATTATAAACCAAAGCATTCTATATAGCACAGGATATATTCATTGATGGAAATGCATTGCTAGTTCTAAAGCATGATTGACATGTATAAAACAGAAAAAAAACTTTCACACAGACAAGGCCACAATGAATTAATTTCTTGTTTGTTGAACAGCGACCCCATACCATTGTTCAGAGGCTAGTGGGTGAGTTTATGAGGGGAGATTACTCTCATTAACCACAAAATTACCTCCCTTTGCCTAATTTATTTCAACCAAACTCTCATGCAAGTTTTCATGGGCATTTTTAAAGGACCGACCCCAAGGGAACAAACAAGTAATCGGTTCTTTAGCAAGAAATCATATTCATCATAGCCAGAACACACACAATGTATTATAGGCGGGTTAAATGTTCCATCCAATATCAGTCAACATCAGCACTGATCACACAAAACGTAATTAATGACATTAGTGACATCTGTGATTAATGCATGTCTGCTTCAGCAGCCAAATGATACAACCAATTCACTCACACAATGTTGGAGTTTAGGGGCCGGTCATTTATTACAAGTGGGGTAAATGAATCAATGGAGGGTCACCAAGAATGAGTCTCTGGAGGAAGGTCATATAAAATAATACATATATTTGAGGAAGGTCATGATAAAAATGTACAAGGACATGGGAGGACGGTTCATCCAAACATATGACAAGCATTAGGGGAGGGTCAATATTTTCAGTATATTATTGCATCAAAAACCTCTCACCCACATCCCATTCTGTAATAATGACCGGTCCCTCAGTTCACTAGAAATTGTCTACACTCTCTAACATACTGCAAGGTGTTGAAGGTGTTCACATGCATAGTTTTGACACATTTGTGAACACAAGTGGCAATGGCTAACCTTTTAGTTCCTGATGAGCACCACTGTTTTCTGGTTAGGCGTAACTATGGTAATAATAAAGTAATAAATGCTGCCAATTCAGGCAAAAAATGCATATTATATGTAAAAACACATCCATGCTTAAAATATGGGTATAACTAAAACGTTATATCAAATATTGGCATTGCAATCATAAAATGAAGCCTTGGACAATACGTTGTGTTTCTTGTTAAGTGTTCTGTTGACATTAGTCAAACATATTTAAGAGTTATCTCCCCTTGCAATGGTTACATCAAGCTCCTCACAGGGTAACCAAGGTGTCACATGCTAAAATGGAGCTTGCAGTTACATCACCATGTGAGTTGCCTTCAAACGAGTTACATGAAACACTGATGAATTAAATGCACTTGTCGTATACACTATAAGAAATTCCATTCCAATGAGTTGTCCATGAGACGACTGCAATATGTCAATTACAAGTTGAAATTTGCAATGGTTGAAATTAATATTCCACTTGACTCTGGTAGTTTTGATCGACAGAAACAATGAAGAACTTGTATTAATCACCAGCCCTAAGTTAGTTATTTACACATAGCTTTTAGTCAGCACATATCTATAAGTTTATATCTACACCAGACTATAAGAGCTATCCCCTTCACTCTCCAACAAATTCCCAAGTCAAGGCCGTAGTTAACTTTTTTTAACAGGGGGGGCAAATATTTGTACAAGTATCACTTGTCCCCAACTTGTATTTTCATGATTCAAATATAACAGTTTTCTATAAAAAATCCAGGGGGCAACTGCCCCCACCCCCCCACCCCCGTTGGCTACGGCACTGCAAGTGATATACTGAACCGAAGAACAGTGGGTCTGTTAGGCTTGACATCATGTTGAAAATTATTTGGAAGGTAAAACGAAGCTCAGAGAACTTTTGAAGAGTGGTGCAAGTTACTATAACTATTGCAATAGTTTTGTAATAATTTTTACTAACAATTGCAGAAGTAACTGTGCACCAATTGTCCCCCCTAGCATTTATCCACCATTCAGAGATGAATCGAAACTATCTGTTAGAAACACAACATTATTCAGGCCACGTTCGATGTAAAATACTGGCAAGTCGCAAGTGAGACATATGTCATGATCAATTATCAACAAACAATCTATTCTCTGAGCAAACAGGGTTATATCTCTGTCTCCCTAGGCCTCTTTCACGAAGTAGTTGTAGCACAATGATTGTGAGAACTATTTCACTTTACAAACACTTCCAATGGCTGTTGTACTGAGATCGTATTGTGAAATGGCCAAAAGCAAGGAGGCTACATTTTGAGATGATGATATTTCATAGACACACGATGTATGGATTTCAGCCTTAGTATTCTATAAAGACAACCAGAGCTCCAGGTAACCTGCATATTTAGATTGAATAAGCATACTTAATCATCATTACCCAGTTTATTTGGAGTTTCTTGTGTACATATATACATGGAAAACCCAGGAGTATAACAACACTCTGTGCAAGGACCGATTACCAAATGTATTCTTTAATCCTTAATCCTTTAATCCTTTACTGATGGAATGCACTACATGACCTACAGGCCACACTTTTTTTTATTTTATGTTTCATGGATTTATTCCAGCTTTTCCACACAAGGTCGGTCGAAATAAAAAAAATAGCTATGTCAATCATTTATTCATTTGTATGAAAGTCATTCTGCCGTGGAGTTAAAACTGCAGCTGACTTCTTGAATAACTGATTATGATGTAAACATGAAACTTAGATATAACATTTTATATTGTATAAGAGGATCTATATCACAAGCAGGAATAAAAAATAATATTTTTATGTTTAATTCATTTCTTTTCAGTGCTGGTCCCATGAACAGCATTATGGGCAGAAATATTTTTAAAAATTGTCCATTAGTCAGGACCCAAGGAGTAAAAACATTGAATACCCAAAGAAAACTACCAATACCCAATGTGAATGAAAACACTCAATGGCTCCAAAGATTCTCTGGAGCCCTGTACAACATGTTGAGGACTTGCCCAATATGTATCCAAGTTGTCCTCCATAGATCGTGTCTCTGTGAACTAACTGCCTGCTTTTGTTTCTCAAAAAGTTTGTGAAAGGTATTGTAGGTATTATTGCTTTCTGCAGCAGGGCTATTATTTTGAAACTTAACTTAACTTATTTGGATATTTCAAAAGGCTTACTGACTTACAAGCTGATAATGCTTCATGTCAATATATTTTGGTTTCATTCATTTTCTTGCATCAAATCTAAACAACCTGTGATTTTGTACGTATTTATTTCACAGCAAGACATACACCAACATGACAAGACTCAAATGCCATAGAAACTCCTCAAATCTTAAAAAAAATTATTAAAAATTCCCATCTCTTTAATTCTCTAATGGTATGGATGTTCCCAAGACCTAGACATAACAAGAATACTAGCACCATACAGGACACACGTTGCATCGTCAGTACTGCATGGGTTTATACTAGGTTCGCCATCACTCCTGAATACATACAGACGTTTAGCTGTGTAGTTCCTGTTTTTACCAACAGAGTCAAAGAGTCAAAGACAGTTCCAGGAGGCAACCAGACCAATCAGTGCTCAGAATACATCGCACAAACGGCAATATCTTTCATGCAACATGTACCATTCTGTGGCCTTCTACTCTATACATTGCTCACTATCAGGCAACATTAGTGTTTGCACAAATTCCTGTACTGTGGTGAGCTTTTGGCTTCCAGGAGCTCTACACAGCCATATTTAATGACTCCACTTAACATAGATACGAGTCACCATAACACAGCGTATTGTCCATATGTATTCACAGGTGATGGTTGTACGTAGCGTATACCAACGTGTGATGTGTTCACGCTATGTCGTAATACCATACCCTCATCATAATGAAATGGTTTCATTTTCGGTAAAGAAGAACATCATTTGAATAATACAACACAAACATAAACAGCCGCCCATCTTCAGCCTTTCTCCGATTCCACCTGGAGCATCCTCTTGTCAGCTGCGGAGGCTGGGTTGCTTGTTTCGCAAACTTCATCGTTTTACAGAGCTGTTCCTGAAAATTAATTGTCTACTGGTCAGTCTTCCAGGGTGCTTTATCCCCTGTTATTTCACTTAAACCATTTTCTACAATTGTGTGGTTGTTGCTTGCTGCAGTTTGTGGTGTGATGCCATAGTTCTGTGTTACTGACACACCGCTCATCAATGAGAACTTGCCTCCCCTGATGTAGACGGGTCCTGGGGCTGCTGTGGCGGTGATGACTTCTCCTCCTCCTCCTCTTCCCTCTGTAACCATAGTAATGATTATGATAATTTTGTTTGTTTGTTGTTTAATGCTACACTCAGCCAGCAAAGTGATGATGGCCTGTAAAAAAATTGGGGAAATACCAGTGGTTGATATTATGAGCAATGTCCTATCAGGATACAAGGACCTGCTGTGAGTGAGTGAGTGAGTGAGTGAGTGCGTGAGTGAGTGAGTGAGTGAGTGAGTGAGTGAGTGAGTGAGTGAGTGAGTGAGTGAGTGAGTGAGTGAGTGAGTGAGTGAGTGAGTGAGTGAGTGAGTGCGTGAGTGAGTGAGTGAGTGAGTGAGTGAGTGAGTGAGGGTGGGTGGGTGGGTGGTTGAGTGAATGAGGGTGGGTGGGTGAGTGAGTGAGTGAGTGAGTGAGTGAGTGAGTGAGTGAGTGAGTGAGTGAGTGAGTGAGTGAGGGTGGGTGGGTGGGTGGGTGGGTGAGTGAGTGAGTGAGTGAGTGAGTGAGTGAGTGAGTGGGTGGGTGGGTGGGTGGGTGAGTGAGTGAGTGAGTGAGTGAGTGAGTGAGTGAGTGAGTGAGTGGGTGAGTGGGTGGGTGGGTGAGTGAGTGAGTGAGTGAGTGAGTGAGTGAGTGAGTGAGTGAGTGAGGGTTGGTGGGTGAGTAAGTGAGTGAGTGAGTGAGTGAGTGAGTGAGTGAGGGTGGGTGTGAGTGAGTGAGTGAGTGAGTGAGTGAGTGAGTGAGTGAGTGAGTGAGTGAGTGAGTGAGTGAGTGAGTGAGTGAGTGAGTGAGTGAGTGAGGGTGGGTGGGTGGGTGGGTGAGTGAGTGAGTGAGTGAGTGAGTGAGGGTGGGTGAGTGAGTGAGTGAGTGAGTGAGTGAGTGAGGGTGAGTGAGTGAGTGAGTGAGTGAGTGAGTGAGTGAGTGAGTGAGTGAGTGAGTGCGTGCGTGCGTGCGTGCGTGAGTGAGTGAGTGAGTGTTGCTTACTCCACAGTCAGCATGATAAAGGCTATATCATAATAGCCTGTAAATATTCAAGTCTGGATCAGGTAAACCAGTGGTTGATAGCATGAGCAACAAACCACCCTATGTGAGATGACACCATATCACATAGCCTGAGCACACAATCCCCATCTTGGTTTCTATGACAACCCTGATGTACTAGGACCCACTTCAGAATCCTCACAGAAAAGGAATGCTGTCAATGAGGATTATCACGTGAGTGAGTGAGTGAGTGAGTGAGTGAGTGAGTGAGTGAGTGAGTGAGTGAGTGAGCGAGCGAGTGTTGCTTACTCCACAGTCAGCATGATAAAGGCTATATCATAATAGCCTGTAAATATTCAAGTCTGGATCAGGTAAACCAGTGGTTGATAGCATGAGCAACAAACCACCCTATGTGAGATGACACCATATCACATAGCCTGAGCACACAATCCCCATCTTGGTTTCTATGACAACCCTGATGTACTAGGACCCACTTCAGAATCCTCACAGAAAAGGAATGCTGTCAATGAGGATTATCACGTGAGTGAGTGAGTGAGTGAGTGAGTGAGTGAGTGAGTGAGTGAGTGAGTGAGCGAGCGAGTGTTGCTTACTCAACAGTCAGCATGATAAAGGCTATATCATAATAGCCTGTAAATATTCAAGTCTGGATCAGGTAAACCAGTGGTTGATAGCATGAGCAACAAACCACCCTATGTGAGATGACACCATATCACATAGCCTGAGCACACAATCCCCATCTTGGTTTCTATGACAACCCTGATGTACTAGGACCCACTTCAGAATCCTCACAGAAAAGGAATGCTGTCAATGAGGATTATCACGTGAGTGAGTGAGTGAGTGAGAGAGCGAGCGAGTGTTGCTTACTCCACAGTCAGCATGATAAAGGCTATATCATAATAGCCTGTAAATATTCAAGTCTGGATCAGGTAAACCAGTGGTTGATAGCATGAGCAACAAACCACCCTATGTGAGATGACACCATATCACATAGCCTGAGCACACAATCCCCATCTTGGTTTCTATGACAACCCTGATGTACTAGGACCCACTTCAGAATCCTCACAGAAAATGAATGCTGTCAATGAGGATTATCACGTGAGTGAGTGAGTGAGTGAGTAGTAGTAGTGGTTTATTTCAGTAAATCAGGCCACAGGCCCATTTTACAATATATATATTCAAGCATTCAAACATGTTGCGCCACAAGTGCATGTAGTAATATCAATACTAATCAGTACAAGGGTATCTGAGACCATATACATATGGTGGTAGAATTAGTAGTTTATATAATGGACAACTGCTTGCTCCTCATTTTAAGAGCAAAGAATGTAAACTTGGCAAGATTATTGATTGTGAAAGCATTACTGGTGGTAAATAAAACCGTACATTTATGCTCTGATGGAGATGTATAATAATAACTTGGCAGAAAGTTTCTTCTAAGATCGTCATAAAACGGACAAACTAAACAAACAAAGTGAGTGAGTGAGTGAGTGAGTGAGTGAGTGGCGAGCGGGCGGGTGGGCAAGCAAGCGAGCGAGTTGAGGGGAACATGGGTGTGTGGCTCATGAATCATTAACTGTGAACCTCGGATCTGAACCTACAGTCTGGCACAACTAAGGGGAAATAACAATAAAACACTGAAAAACACAGGAAGAGCATTTTTACTAAAAAATATTTTTAATCCCCAAAAATGGTTCTTTATGAACTAAAGCAGACATTTGAAATACATATCTTTAATAATCTTCCTATTAATCATATTTCATTTAAGAAACCGTCTGAGCATGACATGTCTCACTCATACCTAGCTTACACAAACAGAACTTGTCATGTCGACAACTGTCAGCTTGATAGCACTTTCAGCCATTAATGTCCACTGGGGCAGTGTTGGAGGAGACTTAGTCCACATGTGTGGGATACCTGAACGTAGCATCTGCCTCCCTGAGCACTACGTCCATCATCTCACTGCTCCTGGAGATCATCGCCATCAGCCCTTAAACACTGCACAGTTCTTCTTGTTATATCTTAGAACTATCATGCCTGTTGTATGTTATTCTTAAAAGTAGAACATCTTTGGTATAATACGGAACCAAAATTTGAAATCAAAATACCTTGGGGTTTTATTAATGGATGATTTTATTAATAAGAAATAAGGAGTAGCTACGATTTTGTCCCAGTGCTCCATGTTTGTAATAGGGTGTCTCACAATCAGTACTGACTAGAATCGGCCCCATGTTTACAATAGGGTGTCTCACAATCAGTACTGACTAGAATTGGCTCCAGGTTTGTAATAGGGTGTCTCACAATCAGTACTGACTAGAATCGGCTCCATGTTTGTAATAGGGTGTCTCACAATCAGTACTTACTAGAATCGGCCCCATGTTTACAATAGGGTGTCTCACAATCAGTACTGACTAGAATTGGCTCCATGTTTGTAATAGGGTGTCTCACAATCAGTACTGACTAGAATCGGCCCCATGTTTACAATAGGGTGTCTCACAATCAGTACTGACTAGAATTGGCTCCATGTTTGTAATAGGGTGTCTCACAATCAGTACTGACTAGAATCAGCCCCATGTTTGCAACAGGGTGTCTCACAATCTGTACTGACTAGAATCGGCCCCATGTTTGTAATAGGGTGTCTCACAATCAGTACTGACTAGAATCAGCCCCATGTTTGTAATAGGGTGTCTCACAATCAGTACTGACTAGAATCGGCCCCATGTTTGTAATAGGGTGTCTCACAATCAGTACTGACTAGAATCGGCCCCATGTTTACAATAGGGTGTCTCACAATCAGTACTGACTAGAATTGGCTCCAGGTTTGTAATAGGGTGTCTCACAATCAGTACTGACTAGAATCGGCTCCATGTTTGTAATAGGGTGTCTCACAATCTGTACTGACTAGAATCGGCCCAATATTGTAATAGGATGTCTCACAATCTGTACTGACTAGAATCGGCCCCATGTTTACAATAGGGTGTCTCAAAATCAGTACTGAATAGAATCGGCTCCATGTTTGTAATAGGGTGTCTCACAATCAGTACTGACTAGAATTGGCCCCATGTTTGTAATAGGGTATCTCACAATCAGTACTGACTAGAATCGGTCCCATGTTTGCAACAGGGTGTCTCACAATCTGTACTGACTAGAATCAGCTCCATGTTTGTAACAGGGTGTCTCACAATCAGTACTGACTAGAATGGGCCCCATGTTTGTAATAGGGTGTCTCACAATCAGTACTGACTAGAATCGGCCCCATGTTTACAATAGGGTGTCTCACAATCAGTACTGACTAGAATTGGCTCCATGTTTGTAATAGGGTGTCTCACAATCAGTACTGACTAGAATCGGCCCAATGTTTGCAACAGGGTGTCTCACAATCTGTACTGACTAGAATTGGCCCCATGTTTGTAATAGGGTGTCTCACAATCAGTACTGACTAGAATCGGCCCCATGTTTGTAACAGGGTGTCTCACAATCTGTACTGACTAGAATCGGCCCCATGTTTACAATAGGGTGTCTCACAATCAGTACTGACTAGAATCAGCTCCATGTTTGTAACAGGGTGTCTCACAATCTGTACTGACTAGAATTGGCTCCATGTTTGTAACAGGGTGTCTCACAATCAGTACTGACTAGAATCGGCCCCATGTTTGTAACAGGGTGTCTCACAATCTGTACTGACTAGAATCGGCCCCATGTTTACAATAGGGTGTCTCACAATCAGTACTGACTAGAATCGGCCCCATGTTTGTAACAGGGTGTCTCACAATCTGTACTGACTAGAATCGGCCCCATGTTTACAATAGGGTGTCTCACAATCAGTACTGACTAGAATCGGCTCCATGTTTGTAATAGGGTGTCTCACAATCAGTACTGACTAGAATGGGCCCCATGTTTGTAATAGGGTGTCTCACAATCAGTACTGACTAGAATCGGCCCCATGTTTGCAACAGGGTGTCTGAAAAACAGTACTGACTAGAATCGGCCCCATGTTTGTAATAGGGTGTCTCACAATCAGTACTGACTAGAATCGGCTCC